TCTCCAACATGCTAGCATGAAAGCATAAAAGGGTCAACTTGTAAACTGTGTAAACTGACTTCATTAGCTGAGTTACCACAATTTTAGAGTTCAGTTGAGTCATTTTTGTGACACATTAAAGAGTGAGTGATGTTTCTAGAATGCTGATGATGTGTGAAGTGGGAACATATGAACGTCATGGTTGCCGTATGGCATTAGAAATCTGAAATATGCAGTTAAGCAGCTATTTCAATGAGTGAAATGCATCTTTACTTAAAAAATAACAATGAAAGCAGGTGTTTAGTAACATAAAAGCATGGGAATGTAACAAAACATTGTGGATTGAAAGCATTAGTGCTCACAGTTATGAAACAGCCTGTCTATCTAGGCCAGGCAACTGCCTCCTGTCTGCACCTCATCTTTGTCTGCTTCTTGGTTTTTGTTGCATTAGTTCCTCTGCTGCTCTCTCTCTGTGAAGTCAGTGATGTTGGAGTCTTGTCAACGAGTACTTAGGCCCATTGCCTCATGGGGAGCCAGACTTGCTGGCTAGGTTTTATGGCCCATTTCAGAGCCTCCCCAGCTTAAATACAGCCTCCTGCTGGCCACATGGCTGCAATGTCGTGCCATGTCCATTCGTCGAAGAGAATAGGGGGATGCTTGGACTCATGCCAAAAAGGTTTTACTGAGGCCACAAGCATATGTGGCTATGTGGAGGTAAGTTGCGTGAGGAGAAAGAAAACGCCGCAGATCTGGTGTTTCTGGGTTGACATCCTGTTCTTGTTGTTGCAAAAGGAAAAACCTCCACTATATAATACTATATAATATATTATATTTAAATAAACCCACTTGGCACTAACTGAATACCAACTGGATCTATATTGTTCAGCAGTACAGTATGCGTTCGAAAATGGGCAGCAAAAAGTTTAAGGCTACGCAATTTGTAATTAAGGAACCTGAAAAAAAAATACTGACATGGTCATTTAAGGAACAGCAAAGAATCTGAATTGTTTAAGACAAGATAAAGAAAAATCTTCATGTGTGACAATCACATTTAGTTTGGATAAGACACACCAGCACAAAAACTTTGAATTCAGATTGCTCTGCCCTTTTGCTTGGCCACACTGAGGTTCCCGAAGCTCTGCCAACTGCTCAGTGAGGCCAACTGCACCAGCACACAGTGTGTTTCTAACTGTACACTTCTGCAACCAGATAATCAGATGAGCAGACCTACAAAGAAGCAGCTTATAGGAGCCAGACTGTTTCCCCAAGCAACAGGCTGCTATTAACGAAGGCCCAGCCTTAAACCCCTGTCTACAATGATACTAATTAGGCATGGAGCAGATGTGCCCAGACTGGTGCTCACCTCAGGGTTCTGGGCAGTGCTGGTAGTGTCACAGTGGCATACGCTGGTGGCTGAGTCACCTGTGACCTTTTCACAGTGGGCCTGGGGTCAAAGCTTCCCTTTAGAGGTATCATAGAAACAGACACCGGAGGAGCCTGGGTCGGGTCCTCGCACCCCTCTAGCCTCATTAGAGTCATCCATATGTGCAACAGCCCGGGATTTGAATAAAAAGCTCCCTCCTGATAAACTCACAAGGTAACATAGAAAAACTGAAACTCACTATGGCTGGAAGTGCCACCTAAATGACAATGTATTTTCCAGATACTGGCAATTTATTGTTTCCACATATTCTTCTCATTGTTCAGTTGGGATTGTTGCATTTCTCTGAACATTTTTATGATTTACTTGTCAACCCTGGACTCCGACCACTACACATCCTGCCATCACATCACCCTCACATTATCAACAATATTTCCTCGCCTAACTGTAAAAACAAAGTCCAATTTTTTGCTATAAACCTGTCAGAAAGAATCATGACCTCCAAATGGTTTGTTTGAAGACATTTAGCCAGAAGGGTTGAAAGGAGAACAAAGACCATGAGCAAACTAACAAGAACGGCGCTAGTGGGCTGCACCCTTTAGTTTCTGAGAGAGCTCTATTCACCTTCTGTTCCTCCCGAGCCTCTTCTCTCTCTCCCCCCAGAAAGGTCTGGATGGGCAAAAGCCTCCTGCAGGCCAAAGTCAATTAAAATAAGAGAGGGTCTAGGGAGCTGGAGTATCCCTGGTTACTGAAAGCACCTAAGACGCCATGCAAAGCAGCCACATTTAGTTTTAGCCAAGGAATTCCTTGCTTATGTGCCTCATGCTGGCTTCTCGGAAGTTCTGGGATTTACCCCATCATATATGGAAAAGTATATGAATAACTGGTTGCTGTGACATTGTTTACAAAGGCCCATCTGGTGCCAAACTATCCTGCGTAAACTACCGGCAGGATCATAAATCATCTCTCCAATGCAGTCACCACACAGCAATGGATGCCCACCTGGCATCCATCAAACCACTTTTTGTCTTCACACAGATGCCACAAATTATTCACTGATGCCAATTTGATAATGAAATGGAGGCAACTCTTTCATCATCAGTCTTTTTCACCACAAAAGAGCGTGTATAACAGGTTATGGGCCTGTCATCCCATGGCAGAACTGTGCTACATGTTCATCCATGGGGGGATAAATAGGTCGAAGCTCATCGGTGTACAGCCTTAAACACATGGTACTCATTTTACTTCTGGTCACCCTCTCAACTCTCCAACATGCTAGCATGAAAGCATAAAAGGGTCAACTTGTAAACTGTGTAAACTGACTTCATTAGCTGAGTTACCACAATTTTAGAGTTCAGTTGAGTCATTTTTGTGACACATTAAAGAGTGAGTGATGTTTCCAGAATGCTGATGATGTGTGAAGTGGGAACATATGAACGTCATGGTTGCCGTATGGCATTAGAAATCTGAAATATGCAGTTAAGCAGCTATTTCAATGAGTGAAATGCATCTTTACTTAAAAAATAACAATGAAAGCAGGTGTTTAGTAACATAAAAGCATGGGAATGTAACAAAACATTGTGGATTGAAAGCATTAGTGCTCACAGTTATGAAACAGCCTGTCTATCTAGGCCAGGCAACTGCCTCCTGTCTGCACCTCATCTTTGTCTGCTTCTTGGTTTTTGTTGCATTAGTTCCTCTGCTGCTCTCTCTCTGTGAAGTCAGTGATGTTGGAGTCTTGTCAACGAGTACTTAGGCCCATTGCCTCATGGGGAGCCAGACTTGCTGGCTAGGTTTTATGGCCCATTTCAGAGCCTCCCCAGCTTAAATACAGCCTCCTGCTGGCCACATGGCTGCAATGTCGTGCCATGTCCATTCGTCGAAGAGAATAGGGGGATGCTTGGACTCATGCCAAAAAGGTTTTACTGAGGCCACAAGCATATGTGGCTATGTGGAGGTAAGTTGCGTGAGGAGAAAGAAAACGCCGCAGATCTGGTGTTTCTGGGTTGACATCCTGTTCTTGTTGTTGCAAAAGGAAAAACCTCCACTATATAATACTATATAATATATTATATTTAAATAAACCCACTTGGCACTAACTGAATACCAACTGGATCTATATTGTTCAGCAGTACAGTATGCGTTCGAAAATGGGCAGCAAAAAGTTTAAGGCTACGCAATTTGTAATTAAGGAACCTGAAAAAAAAATACTGACATGGTCATTTAAGGAACAGCAAAGAATCTGAATTGTTTAAGACAAGATAAAGAAAAATCTTCATGTGTGACAATCACATTTAGTTTGGATAAGACACACCAGCACAAAAACTTTGAATTCAGATTGCTCTGCCCTTTTGCTTGGCCACACTGAGGTTCCCGAAGCTCTGCCAACTGCTCAGTGAGGCCAACTGCACCAGCACACAGTGTGTTTCTAACTGTACACTTCTGCAACCAGATAATCAGATGAGCAGACCTACAAAGAAGCAGCTTATAGGAGCCAGACTGTTTCCCCAAGCAACAGGCTGCTATTAACGAAGGCCCAGCCTTAAACCCCTGTCTACAATGATACTAATTAGGCATGGAGCAGATGTGCCCAGACTGGTGCCCACCTCAGGGTGCTGGGCAGGGCTGGTAGTGTCACAGTGGCATACGCTGGTGGCTGAGTCACCTGTGACCTTTTCACAGTGGGCCTGGGGTCAAAGCTTCCCTTTAGAGGTATCATAGAAACAGACACCGGAGGAGCCTGGGTCGGGTCCTCGCACCCCTCTAGCCTCATTAGAGTCATCCATATGTGCAACAGCCCGGGATTTGAATAAAAAGCTCCCTCCTGATAAACTCACAAGGTAACATAGAAAAACTGAAACTCACTATGGCTGGAAGTGCCACCTAAATGACAATGTATTTTCCAGATACTGGCAATTTATTGTTTCCACATATTCTTCTCATTGTTCAGTTGGGATTGTTGCATTTCTCTGAACATTTTTATGATTTATTTTATACTGAATATAATGTGTTTCATACAAAATTTTTTTATCATATTTTATTTTATACATTCTTATTGTCAGTTACATTGCCAGTATTTTGTGCATAAAATCTATATCACATACATATAATGACATTTATTACTCCATGATAATTTAGTTTTGCCATTTTCTGGCCCAGTGCTGAAATTCTGTTGCATGTTTACTGTATATAACATCCACTTTGCTATTTGATCATTTATGCTTGTCCCAGTTTCTGACGTAAGCTTAATTCAAGACTCTTACTAAGTGCTGTTTCACAGAAATGAATAGGTAGGGGTATAATTCACATACAAAATCACCAAGCGGAAAAAATGCATAAACTTAGATTTACAGTACAATGGTTCTGATGAAGAGCCGAGAGCAGAGAGGAGAACATTGATGCAAGCAGGATGATAAAACTTGTGATGTGTATCATATTGTAAAAAAACAGACAACACAACAGCAGCCATGTAGCTTTTCTAAATGACTAACCAAAAAGCACAACTGATGGCGTGCCATGTAAATTATGTCGACACAGTTCAATGTGAGGACATAATGTAAGGCCTGTGATGAAGATGCTTTGCTGGATTCAGCCAATGTTTATGAATTTCCTGAGCAGCACTTCAACACACAGCAAGTACCTGAGTCAGACTGACACCTCCTGCAGCAGTTGGTTTCTGTAGGATTCAAATTTTACATTTTACTGTAATTTACAAACATGTCTTAAATATACAGTGAATGATAAAAGACATTTGGAAAGTTGGAGAAATAAAGATTTATTGATGCTTTTTAAATCTGCTGTTGACTTACTGAGGTCAAGTCACAGATTACTTAATAATGACACTTTAATTTCCTGCTTTAACATCCAATATCCAATAGTGTCATTTGTAATTGTCACTGCTTCATTTTCCAGCTTGTCTGCCTTATCTGAACTCTGAAAGCACTTTTGCACTGTTTTCACACATACACAAGGGTGTGTAAAGGCCTTCACAGTAACTCACTGTGCTGTAGATGTAGCTCAAGTGAATTTCTTTCCGCTGCTCTACACTCTGATACCTATTCCACAGTTGACAAAAAAAAACAAAAAAAAAACTGTTCGATTACTTTTCACTTGTGTGCTTGATCATCAATTCCAACTCAGTTCTGCTTATGCTTGCCGTTGTTTCTTCTCTGAAGGACTTGCATTCTGAAAAATAAGTAGGAGGAGGTGTGTGCACCCTCCTTTGATATGTGGAGGAAAATTTCCTGGCTGTGGCTTCAGTGCAGTTTAAGAACACGGTTTCAAAAATTTTAAGACATCACACCTCACTTTAAAAGGACTATAGTTTTAAGGCTACTGTATTTTTATGAGGCACATAATTTATCTCAACAAGAGTTTCACCAGATATCACTGGGTTTCCACACTAACCTCCAGTGAAGCAGGCTATCTGGTGTTTATTTAGGTAACCGTCATTCATGGTTCTCTGATATATTAGAAGTATTGCTGGCCCACAGGTAGAACTGTATATGACGCTCAAAAAATAGCTTTTTGGTGAAGTATTTCTTTAAGTTTAGCATGAAAAACAGGTGCTTATTAGGATCTAAATGCAGCCAAAATGTCTAAAGTTTAAACCTGGTGCTACTGTTTAAAAAAAAACATCTGTGCACCAGGCATATTTGGACATTAGAAACACTGAATCACTGATCTGAAACAATCCCTACACAGGGGGAAAAATCTGTGTGCCTCTGCAAGTGAACCTGGCTGGTTGTGCTGTGTGGCACTGAGTGAAATGGGTGTGATAAACTGCCAAGGATCTCGTGGAAAATGGCGCCTCAAGTAGGTCAGCACGACTCAGAGCGATAATCAAGGCCATTTTGACCCCGTCTGTGTGAGCTTTAAGTGGGTCAAATGCAGCAGTCAGCTGTTGCAACTCTATCACAAGGGGCGCTACGAGGCACTCACCATACCGTCAGAACCCATTCCGTTAGTTTAAGACACGGCAGGGTGCCCGCCTGCACCCACCAATCCAGGAATCAAACATCTCTCTGCCCCCCCAGGGGTGAAAAAATATGAAGTTCCTCTCAGCAGCAGCAAATCCACCTTCCCTCTTGTCACTGAATACATCCCCTGTAAACACAATTCTCTTTAACTGTCGTCTCCTCCTTTTGACAGCTCACAGCTTCACAGCCCTGTCTTATTCACAGTAGTAAAGACTCCCCCTCTGTCCCCCCTCCATGTCTAAAATGCCACCCTCATTTCAACCAGACTAACTCCAGCAATATCCCTGCGTATTTCTCACTCTTCATTGCATAGAAAAAAGGGGGACTCGTGTGTCTAGAAACACATGAGCACAAATCTGCAACAGCAGAACAAAGGCGATACAGGGCAGCCTTAATCTCTGCACTATTGAATCCAGCAGCTATTTTAAAGCTCGTTCTCTGTCTCTGTATCCCTCCTACCTTCCTCTCTTCTCTCTAACATTCTTCATCTCCCCTCTCCCTCCCTCTTCCCCCTTGTTTCCCTTGGTGTCTCAGGGTAGCAGCTTCTCTGTGTTTTCCTCTCCTCTCTCCCTGTGTGTCCAGTGACTGACTGCACAATACACATCAATTATTCATGGCTGCTCTCTCTGTTTTGCAGGCAAAACCAATCACAGATGGAGTCATTGCTAATGGGCTCCTGCTGTACTTGCCACCGGCTTCTTTGCACTCAAGCAACAAATACCCCAGAGACAATGAGAGGGAAACAGAGATAAGCTGTAGAGGAAAAAAAAAGAAACTTCGTACAGCACTGACAGCCACGAGAAGAAGAGGAGGACACATGTTTATGGTCACAGAAGAAGAAAGGTAAGTATCCTTACATATAATTTGCCAAAATTAGAAGCCGGCTCCTGCAGCAGTCCTCACCTCAGATGTATGCAGCTGTTATTGATGTATCTTCTTTTTCTGTCTAGTGATCCATTGCTTGCTCTCCCAATACACACATTACACAGAAGCAGCCACAGCCACTTCGCCAGAAGGGAGAGAGGGAGGGGAGGGAGGAGAGGAGAGGAGGGGAGGGAGTAGAGAAGAAGGAAAAAAATGCAGGCAGCTCACATTTCAAACTTGCAAAGAGGGGTGGTGCCTAATGTGCTAGACAGCCTGTATCTTGGCCCAGGTCCAGAGAAACTAGTAAAAGAAGCCTCAATCAATTCATTTAAAGCAACATATGCTACGAGGTGGATGCACTGCGAGTCCTACTGAAAACTGGCGACAGAAATGGTCCCGGTGGGTACACTAAGCAGTTGCTTCAACCCAAAAATCCTTATCTTTGCATACAGTCAACTTAATCCATCAAACTACTCAGTGTAATTAAGGGGCACTGAGGATAAGGCGGGAGGAGGAGACTGGCTATTGTGGGTTCCTAATACGTAGAAGGTTGGAATCAGAAAGGGAGGGGCCAATTAGATAACATTTGTCTTTGAGCACATATGAGCTTTGGCAATCTTTTGGATAAATGATTATGCACATATAAAACATGTAAACCTGAGGGTAGACTCACCACCTGCGGCTGACCAGAGCATCAATTGTTATCTGCAAGTAAAAATGCTTGCACTCACCAGTCACCACCAAATTAAATGAAGTGTGCAACTTCTGTGTGGCTAAAAATAATAAGCATTTAACCAGAGGCAATGGGTACAATGTCAATTAATATGCAAGCAGCTGATTTTGTTGCACAGTAAATTACAGAGCCATATGGAGTGGTTTAAGATGCTGCCAATCACCACCTACATACAGACAACTACACAGAAGGTAGTAAGGACAGACAAGCTGAACAGCTCTTATCTTAGGTCTCGGCTGTCTGTATTTGCTCTCCTGGTATTTACTATCAGCTAAGTGCACAGTGGGTGACTTAAAGCCCTGCAGCACTAGTTGAAGTTAACACATCAGTCATGGCTGGCGGGAAAACTTCACATGCAGTTATCATGTAGTAAAACTATCCAAAATGAACACAGGCTAGATTTATAGCATGCTTTTAACCTCATAAACTCTGATGTGCAAAAGTGGTGAGTCCATCTTTACAAACTCAAGTTGTGCAGACAAACTTTTTTCAAGTCCTTAAAATATTGTTTTAATTTCTCGTGCAGATCCAAAGACACCAAAAGGATTGGACTGAATTTCAGAGAAATGTGTATATAATGATGCCCCACGTGTTTAAAATATTTCCAACATGGCATCATGAGTTTTAATAACTTGTAACTGCCTTTCACAAATAGATACACATATACAAAATATACATGCAAAATCATCATCATACAGTATGAAATGTTAAGGGAGAAAATTTAAGGTGAAAATCCAGAGCTGAAAGAACTCTAAAGTTGTAACAACTAGTGCCTTTCTAACTAAATCATATCAAGAAAATACAATTAAGTTTGATACATAACATTAAGCTTAAACGAATCATGACTAATCTGACTGAGATAATCTGTTATGGTAGTAGTAAAAAGCAGTACAGTCCTCCAGTGATTATAATGTATGGTTTGTGGATGGAAGACTTGGACTTGGCAAGACTAACTACAGAGTTATACGTTTATACAGGAGGTGGAGTGAGTGAACACTCATCTTTAGCCTGAACTAAAGTAACAGCAGATGCTTCTTCAGGAACTATGACTGCATCATTATTGTCTAAATTAAAGCTGCTAATTCTGTTTTAAATCTTATTAATTAATGTGTTCATTTCTTAAAAAGAGTCAGCAATATAATCCAACTACTGCCGACAATAAAACAAGCTCTTGGCCAACAACGTTTTTAGATTCTGTGTTATTTTCCATTTAGGAAAAGCCACAGCTAAACTATATGTTGAAGAGCAGCAAGAGACAAAAGATTTTAGTGTGGAAAGCTTGGGAAAGAGAATTACAGCCCTGCAAGCGTGTGTGTGTGTGTGTGACCTCTATGTTCTATGTAGAATCAGAGACCTTTCCGCAGCTCAGTGACAACATTTCTGACTCTGATGTCTTAAGCACCACTTCATCGGTAGGCACAGATTCCGTTTTCACTCTGAGCCCTTTTATACTTTTCCTGAAACTCCTTAACTTACTTCACTTCCACTTCCAGGTATTTTTAAACCCCTCCTGAAACAAACTTGTAATTTTGAGTTGTATACATAAAACTGACTTCACCTGGTTAAGTGTTATGATGGATATTTATCTACAAATGTCCACCCCATGATACACTGTAATTCACCTCTTAACCTGGTTGGAAAACTGAGAATCAGCTTCTGAAGTCCTATGGCAAAACCTCCTGTGAAATCTAAAACTCCTCTTACTTAGATGCTTTAATCATGCTGACACTGTTAACTACAACACACAATGTCTGCTGATCAGACCTGAAAATGGCTCTGCACCAGACACACAACTGAAAAGACAACAGAGCCTGACAGAGCGAGAATAGCTGCTGAATATCTGGTTTACCGAGCGTTTGTTACATGAGAGAATCAACGGTTCAAGAAGCAGGAAAACTTCAACTAGCCCTCCCCTTATGGAGTGATGCCTCCTTTCACTCTTTAGAGCTGAGGAATTCCACAAGCTTGCTGAGGCGCAAATAACTGAGAATGTGCCACTCTGACCCTATTGGTGAAAAAATGGTGATTAAGCGTTTTGTTGACACTCTCGAACCAGACTGAACCACTACAATCCTGCAGGAGGGGTGTGACACTGATGAAATAGGCCCAACAGGGCTCATTATGTATCCTGTGATGGAGTGAGAGAGAGGGGAGGCCCTGATGAGTTTATCCACAGCAGCAAGTGATCTCGCTACTTTGATGTCGCCACAGCTCCACGTGCAGGGCTTCGCCCAGCAGTAAGACAGTCCAAGTAATCAGAGATTAATAGAGCAGGCTAATCTCATTCACAAAGAGGTCACTACTAGCAGACAGACACCCTTCCCCCAGCTCTACCCGAACATTGTGCGCCACTTGCAAAAAGGCTAAAGGACTACAGCTGCCAATCCTCCCGAGTGCATCTATTAAAGAGATCAGTATAGTGCAATTCACTAAATCACAGTGTGAGCAGATTCCATTTTTAGTCTACTGCAGAGGCTGAAATATACAAAAAAAAAGAGAGAGAGCTCTAATCTGCTCACTTTGCTGGAATTCAAATACATATGATAAGTTATAAAGTGACTAGGAGTTGATAATGGAGTTTTCCTCAAGCAGGAAGGTACATCCTGCTGGTGTCATTAGATTAAGATCTATTTCTTTAGGTTTTACCCTTCTAACAAAAAGAAATTAAACTGATGGCATAAAGTGTTGGAGGCATTTCATGATGAATCATTTTGTCAAAGCTACAACCTGTTTCAGCTGTAAGTTGACTGTGAATATCGATTTCCTATTGCTGCCCTCACCTCAGTGCAATTTCCCCCACAATGTTCAGGAGGGGAATTCAGATGACATAACAGAAATGTAATAGCTTGACCATGCCACGGGTCAGACCCAAGACAAGTTGGGCCTGGTTAAAATGGAACACCAAATCTGATTTACTTATTAGCACTCATCCATTAACTTGATGTCTTCTGTGGCAGACAGCCTCACTTGTGCTTTTTACAAAAAACTTTTTAACCCTACTTTTAACATAAACTTTCACTTATAATGACACAACTGTTCTGAAGACTGCCAGGGTTTGGTGTACACAAGCCCATTTATTAGCAGAAATACAGAGCAAACATAAGATGGAAGAGTATCTCATTCTTCAACCAGAACCATAAAAACCTGTTATGCAGCAAATGGTAGACTGTCATTTTTATTATAAAGCTATGAATCTGAAAAGGACTCTGTGCATAAATTTGCTACACTTTATCTGAGGTTTATGGAAATTAATGCAATTGAAGCTGCACTGAATCGAGAAATTAATATCCAGCCCTATATTTGGCTAAACAGATGATTGTTAAAACAAAATTATGCAGATAATGCCACATTCAAACTAAAGAAGAAATTCATCCAAACCTATATCATTATGCATTCTTGGCTCTTTAAGGCTTTTAAAAGACTCCAGAGCAAAGAGCAGACATTGACTCATCTGTCTCTGGTCTTGGATGGCTGACCTGCCGCTGCCATCCTGGCCCCATCATGTGACTCACTGCCTTCCCCTGTCGCTTGGCAACAGCCCCACTGGATGTCGGGGAGTGAGTCCTGCCCCTGGGGCCCCATGGGAGTGTCATTTCTGAGCAATCTCCCCTGGCTGCCAAGGAGTGCTTTCCCTCCGCTTTAACAGCCTCCTGAACTGGGGCCTCCCTTCTAAAGAGCTTCTGTGAGCTTTGCAGAAGAATGTCTTTGCAGTGGCTTCCACAAGCCTCTCAAAATATTCATCCATATACAGGTACATAATTGTCCATAAAATGCACTTTGGGATGCTGCCTAGACTTGAGTACTTGTGCCTTTCCAAATGACAACTGTTGCAGGAAATAATTCAGACAAAGAATCAATTGGCAGTCTTATCTAGAAAGCCCATAAAGTAGGGCCTGAAATTTCATTTAGCATTAAGTAGAAATAAAACATTTGGCAGCGTAAGTTAATTGCAGGCAGAGAATGATTCCCCTCCTGGCGCTGATACAAGAGTGACACTGCATGATTTGAAGCCTCATATAATCACGTATAAAACTGTGAATGCCATAAATCAGAAAAGGCAGACACAAGAGAAAATTCAAACAATATGTGGCTCTGACTTTCATGTCTTAGTCGACTTAAGATGGCTTTGCGGAGTGACTGAGCACACAGAAGCTATCGTACAATCCTGCTTTCCCTGTAACCCAAGACAGGTGGAAACCACAAATCAAAAACAGTAACAGAGCACAAAATATTCCAGTTATTTTTCAAGCTGCTGACAACCTATACATCTTTATTTCATTGTGGTCCAGTGTGCTCTTTCACCGGCTTGATAACAACATTTAGCAGTCTACATCTGTCCCAAGAATCCATCACTAGACCAGGATGATGGAGCTGAATGAAAACAAGGACTCATCATTATTGACAGTGTAGTTTTCTGTCATGTGTGACAAATGGTATATTCTGCTGTATGCACTTCGTCTAAAACTCCAGAGAAGAGGACAAATATAAATGTAGTTCTGTGTGCCGGGAACAAGATTGGAAGTAAGATGTTGCATGAAGAAGTGAAGAGTTTTTGCAGATATTACAGGGTAATGCTTAGTGTTCAGTGAGGCTGAAAAAGGAAACAATATTTTGCATTACTATTGTTTATCATGTAAAGTCATAAAATAATCTAAGATCATCATTTTTCATTGGAAAAAAGTGATACATATTTAAGTTAACACATCAGATGTGACCATTCAGTGTACTTGAAATGCTATCCAACACAGTAAAGTGTACTTTTCTGGAGTATCAGACCTCTATACAGCCTAGTAGCAGTGTGTATGTGTATATCATAAAACGATTCCAATAATTCAGGACAGGAACTTTTGAGCCCAGACAGGCCAGCATGGCCAGATGGCAGTTGAGAAAACTCTGGCCTTACCTGCCGATTTTGGAGTGAACTTATCCCTGTTGGCGGCACACACAGCCAGGAGCCGGTAGCCCAGGTCCAAGTCGAAGCCCTGCTGAGCTGCTACGCGGCTAACCACCTGAAAACAGCGACAGCATGCAGCACTCAGTCAGGACAATGTCAGACAGAGATAAGAGTAGGAGAAAGTAGTTTTTAAGACAAATATATCATTTCTTGGAAATTTTTAAACAATTATCTGACATTACCTAAATAATTACGATACTTCAAGGCTACATAAAGGTCAGTAAGAAAGAGGATAATTAATGCTTTTTTGAACAATACAGTAGAGAATTGGTCTTTATGGCTCTGTGGACAATTGAAGAGCTCATTTTATTGCAAACTAACAAAAAAATCTTTAGTCTTTTCAGACAGGTATTTGAGAAGCTTTATTAACACAGTTATCTTAATTCCTAAAAAGATGAAGGTCACATAAATGCTAATTACATTATCAGCTAAATAACGGTAATGTCAGCTAGAAAGTGCTCACCTCTTCCAAAGCTGCATAAGCCTTTAAACGTGCAATTTATTTTCAGAACAATAAAAGTTAAACTTTTACTAATACATGACATGAGAGGATATACTGCATGCACCACATTTTACTTATTCAAATGCAGATGTTGATGAGAAAACAGTAAAAATGTTCAATAATGCCCATTTTTAAAACATTATAAAATACTTTTTATAAATTCCCAGACTGGACCAACAGCTCATGATTTTAACAGTATGTCACTGGCATTTGTGATCAAGTTTTTAACCAACAAGAAATAATATAAAAAACAAGTAAGCAGAAATGGATTCTCCGATTCTGACTTTTATATAGGAGTAAAGTTTGGCAGCGTTAAAGATGCAGTTTAGCTTTACAGATAATTAAAGTCACTACATGTCTAGCACTTCCATATGAGTTGCATGACATCAAGATAAGAAGAAAACGTGGCCTCCATTACAATGATTCATACGAGGAGGAAACGGTGAGCGAAACATCCATGTGACACAGGACGTGATGTGAAACGCCTTGCTTTGATTTACTATCACTATTATCAGCCCAAAGAGAGCCATTCAAGTCATTTAAGCTTTCAGGACACACTAAGGCCTGTGTGGAGCAATGGGCCCCACTAGAGACAGATTCCTCTCCCTGCCTGGCTTTTCATAGCCACAGCACTTCTGTCACACTCCCAAGTTCAAGTCAAGCCCCGAGGTCATACAGCTGAACACTACTGCCTGCACTATATCATTATCTTCTAAGTATAGTCTTGATGTGACACCAAAACACAGTATGTACTATATATCTAGCCTTTATTTATAGGAATCCCCCATTAAGAAGATACGAGTATAGGCTACCTAATTAAGCTGACAGGTTACGTTCACAGTTTTACTGATTTCATTAATCTCGTCAGGAATGCACAGCAAAGCTCAGCAGCAAATTACTACTAAACTACTCGTGTTTCCGTAGTTTTAAGTTTCAATCAATCAACTGAAGTCCTTCTTCTTTACACCTAATGGGGAATGGCTTCATTTATCTAGGTTTTAGTTTGAGATGCTTTAAAAAAATTAAGCAAAGCTATTTTGTTTGAATTATTAGCAGTATGACCATCATGCAATCCAGTTTTATTGTTTTTTGCCAGGCCTAGCTGAAAAATTGATTGAATGTCTTGTTAAGACAAATCATGGCTCGAAATGAGTTCAATAATTTAACGCATGATGGTGCTTGAAAATTGATCATCTCACATAATAAATATAATCTAATTATTCTAAAATAATATTTAATAACATTACGACTTAACTGATGATCACTGATTTTGCTGTGTGTGTGGTACACTGCAAAAAGTGTAATTGTAAATTATTTTTATTTTTCATTAAATACATATATCAAGCCCTTTTTCACTATTTTTAAATGTCAGATAGGTTACATAGTGTTTTTTATTATAATTTATTTTGTTTTGGTACCACAGCATATTCAGCTGTTTATAGATGATGATAGAAGATTTTTCCTTTTATCAGTAGCGCCACTTTGTCTGACATCACCAAATGCCTACGGTGAGACAAAACTGAGAAGCAAACATGCAGGGAACAGGGTGAAGTGTTTACGATTACAGTAGGAGACTTTCACAATCACATCAAAC